CAATGCCCCTTTACTCACTTGGCCAAAAGGACCTGGTCATGACAAGTGATCCACCTTTTGGGTTGCCATGACTAAACATGGGCCAAAAAGGGAAAGCCAAAAGGTCAAGTCAATGCCCCTTTCAGTTGATCTAATGGGAGTCGGCTCCTCAAATTTGGAGCGTTCGGAAGGTCTTGGCCGTAACGACTGGCTAAGTGTTGCCGGTGGTAGGGAACTAATGTTGGGAATGAATCGGTTTTGGGGAGTCCCATATAAAGTAAACCATAGGTTGGATGGGTTGGGTGTCATTCCATGTTCATTTCTTGCCGATCGAACCAGCAAGTAAGTTGGGTGCTCCGCCGATCACCTGCAACCAAAGCGAGTGAAAACCGATCGATCTGACCTGCGCGGTTTCCCCATGCTGGGTTCACCATTTTTCTGGCCCCAGAAAGGTGATCACCTTTGATTTCCAGGGGCAAGAGATGAATCAGAGCACAGATACCTCGACTCTCGGGACTCGGGGGACTCTGTTCAATGGGCAACTCGGTTTTGAGGATGGAAATGGATCAACTTCAACTGAGTTCACGGAGGGCCAGTTGTTTTTAGGACGTGTTGTTTTTCTCCGGGACTTTGGTCTTGCTTCATGTTGGCTCGCTGGGTTTCTGTATTAGGCTTGTGTCGACTATTGCTGGCTTTTGCTCGCTGCCTCTCGATCACTTTAGGGCGGTTTTGAGACCCCCAAACACCTCCGGGGTGTCTAATGGAGGAGTCCGGTCTTCCATGGAAAGCCCCAGGAGCCTCTGGGCAAGACTACTGTTGACCTCGTATTCATCAAGCCCAGTTTATTACTAGGGGGTTCCCCTGCAAAAGTGATGACAGGGACACCCCTCTATCAGTAAACTGGGGTTGATGAATACGGGTAAACATTAGCATTACCCAGGATAGTGCTCGGTGCTAATGCGCCCCTGAACAACCCTAACCCGACCCTACCAAACCCACCCTAAGCAGCCCTAAACACAACCCTTTCCCACGCCAAGCCTAACCCTAAACCTGGCCCTAAACCCTAAAGCCGAACCCCAAACCCGGTAAAGTGTTGGTTCACCTCAGTTCTTTTCACACTGTGCCAGAGGGGCCCCTGACGTTTGTTGAAGCACCAAACGAATGTTGCCATGTTTGTGGGAAATGGTGTTAGTTTAATATTCTGTGCTGCCACGGGAACCCACTTGAAAGTGACAAAGTAGTGTCCACTCCGGTATCCCACAAAACATGTTATTTTCCTTCGTTTGGGTCAATGAATTAACATGGAACCTGACGTTTAGGGGTCCTGGAAGACAAATGTTCCTTTTAAAGGGACCCCAAACGGGTTCCACGTCAATTGGTGCGAGGGTAAACGGGGAGCCGGTTTCCCGTTGGCTCGAAATCCCCGGATTTCGGGGAGGAGAGCCTTTCAGCCCGAAACCGTTTGACAGGCTGCCAGCTCCGATCTGTGAAGCTGTACAAGAACCGGGCGGCCTGACCCCGGTTGGGGATGTGACCCTTCAGCCCGCTTGGGGATGTTCGATTCTGAAGATCCTTCTTGTCCTCTAGGGAATTTAGAGAGAACCTATGTGGCTGTGGGTCAAAAATAGACACCCAAATGAAACTCTGGTAAATGGAGACATGGACTATGGTTTTCTGGAGTCCCCTGGATTGAGTTTGACCCATGTGAAGGTTCCCTCTAGGAACCACCACGACCCTAAGGAGTGTTGGCCCTTTGGGCGCTCAAATCTCCTTGGGCCCCTTTACTGTGTTGGCCTTCCATTCTGATGGACTCGAGGGCTGGGGCGGAGGCCCTATTTTGGTCTACTGAGCCCAGAACAGGGCCCTTTTTCGGGCTCCCTCCCCCTTCTGACACAATCGCATTGCCGGCTTCTATGATTTATGGTCCCTCATCTAGGTTTCTCAAATGGTGGACGGAGCCCAAAGATGGCCCTATTCTGGCCCACTAAGCCGAGAATAGGGCCCTTTTTGGGCTCCCTCCCCCTCCTTTCCAGCCACCAGCACTTTTTGTTGGTAGCCAAATGGAAACCAACGGAAAGGCTCATCAACTGCTTTAGGGGACCACCACTCACATGAGCATGACCTGGATGGTGCCCCAAACTGATTCGGGTAGATTAAGGTTAGTAAGGGGTAGTCGCCTTGCCAAATATTTAAACGGTTCTGGGTCGACCATTTTAATACCGATCGGTTTTGATTCTGACTCAGTTTGTTTTTGGCAGTACTGTAAGGGCATGGTAGTCTTTCGGGCAGGGGAGCTGCTTGAAACATCGCCTTTTGCCAGTTTAGAGTGATCTTCCTTTTGGGGGAAATGCACGGAGCGAACTGCCGCCAGTTGGACAGAAGCCTTTAGAGGCAATGGGTGGATTCCAGATGCTTAGGTGTCGAACCAAAGTTGTTCGGCCTTGGCGTCTTTGCTTTGGGAGCAGAAGGAGCCCTGCGAGGACAGGGCAGTCGAAAGCTCACTGGCGGGGGGAGAGAGTTGGGTTAACACCTGCTTGCTGGTGCCGAGAGGTAAGCAATGACCCGAGACCGGGTTTCGGGAATGAACCGGTATTGGTTGGATTCCCGAATCAAGGAAACCATAGTTGTTTTTTGTTTTTTTGTGTTTGTTCTTCTTCTTCTTCTTCTTTTTTCTCGGGGTCATTCCATGTCTCGTTCCCTGCCTATCGAAGCAGCAAGTGGTTGCTGTCAGGGCGTGTGCTTTGATGGGGGGCGGTGTGCTTTGGGGGGCGGTGTGCTTTGTTGTAGCAGTTTTATCAAAGGTGAATGCCATGAGGGCCTAAATGATCCTAAATGAACAGAACAGTTGGGCGATGGGGAACTTTGAAGCCAAATCAAAACATAATCACGGCAAAGCAATGTGTCTTTGCTGCATTTTGCCAAGGGATGTTTGGACTTGAACTTTTTGCCAACTCATGGGTTTTGAGTATTAAACCACTAAAAGTTAGTCGCTTTTAGCAGGGGAGCACAGCAACCGAGGTGTGTCATCTTGTAGCAAACCTTACCGTGCTGAAGGGCACGCCTTGTGCTGAAGGGGCGCTCACGGATTGAGGCTGAGGTATGTGTGAGCTGCGTCTAAGGTTTAAGCACCCTAGGTCCCCCAGCCAGGTGGCCTTTCTCAGCCCTTTTTGGTTGGGTCTAGGTCCCCCAGCTTCCATTTGGTTATGTCCAGTAGCGATAATTTCCTGTTACAACCAGCAAGGGTTTGGTTGTTGTCGGGAAACATTTTGCATTTTTTGCTTCTTGTGGTTTAGTGGTTGAAATCCAACCACTTAACTGCTGAAAAGCAATTTGTTGCTCCCCTTCCAACGTCAACCAAGAAAATAGACTACAGAAAAAGGGTGCCCTTATTCTAACCTCTCTACCAGAGGACCTAGTTAAGCACACTAAGACTTTTCGGCTGGCACACGCCAGACTTTCAAAAGGCCTGAGCCGTGGGCGGTGAACATAGGAAGGGTGTATCGGGTGATCTCAAACCGCATCTGAGTTACGTTGGGTCTGCCGGACTGCGCAATTGCTGGATGAGGGCGCCAAACTCGTGCTGCTGGCATGCTTTATGACCTTCCTCAATTGCATTCTACTTTTGCAATAGTTGGCCCTCAGGGCAGCAGAACTTTGGAGCAACAAGTCTAAGTCTTTCATGTGTTTCTCAGGCCGAGATGCTCGGATCAGTCTTGTCACACCCGCTGCTTTCCAAGAGGAGATCCACCTGTCGCACAATGAGATCGACCACCGGGGGGTCGCGACGTTGCTGGCCGTCTTGGCGATGCATGGGGCGTACCCCAGGACTGTCGAGCACTTGGAGGAGGCATGGCACGCATAGCATCGCGCATGGGCTCGCGTAGCCGCGCTCGAAAACCCAAACGGCCACAGTCGCAACTACCTGGTTTGACAGAGTTTACATTAAAGCCTACACAAACCTTTAACGATGTTGGTAGAACCCAAAACTCTCTCGGTTTTGAGTGCTGCCCACTTTGTCGTTTGGCGATTTGACGACAGCCAATCTACACCAGTGTTGTCGCGAACCAAACAAACAGTTCAGTAACTCCTGTTCATGCTGAGTCACACTTTAGCCCAGTGATCATCTCTTGCCAACGTGCAAAGAGGGGTCCCAGTTTTGGGGTTTGCTCTTTTAAGCCACACCCGCATTGTGTTGATTTGCTTGGTTTGGTGCTTGGTTGGCCAGCACTGGCCTTTGGCTGGTTGATTGCAACCTCTACCGCTTTGTTTGGTCGAAAGTATATTGCCTAGGTCCCCCAGCTAGGTGCCCTTGTACCCCTTTTTTGGGGAGGGTTCCCCTACTAAAATAGAGAACAGAAAAAAGGGTACCCTTATTCTAACCTCTCTACTGGAGGACCTAGTTGCAAATGGCATTTGTGGACATAGCAACCAAGTCTTTGGCTGCTAATGACAGGGCAGGCCTTTGTGTTCCTTTGATCATCACTTCAGAGCCCAATGGAAAGTGAGTTTCATTTACTGCAAGCCGGAAGAGGCGTTTGAACTAACAGATCCAAGGCGGGCCCGCTTGCCCAGTGGCGCCCTTTTCTCCTTTTGGGAAGGGTTCCGATTCCTTTAAACCCAACCAACAAAAAATGGATGCCCATGTTTTTTTCCCATAGCCACTGGGCATTTGAGGATGCCCTGACACTCGCGAAGGAACCCCTAGCTTTCGGCCAGTTTGGTCAACTTGACCTGCCGGGTCTCCAAGGTCCATTGGTCAACAGGTAAGGGGGCTTTCTTCAAATGAATTGGACCCTCCAGGTGGTTTTGGTTTGTTTTTGATATATATTGTTTCTGGGTTCATGGTGGGTACCATCTTACCTTTCAGCCCTAACAGGAGTCTGGCAGAAAAGATTTCAATAGTTGGACTGAACAATGACCAAGTTGTGGTTCCTCTTCTAACAACTATAATGTCACTGTGAGAAACACCCAAGTGTGCATTCTGAACTTGCTGTTTTGTTGTCTCTCCAATGGAGCCTCTGACAGGCTTGCAGGCTTACGCGCTTGCAGCTTTGCTTCTGGCCCAACCACATGTCGAGTAGGTTGGTGTCTTGGTGTGCCAATTGGGCCCTTTACTGGGGACACCTGAGGGGTTGGACCCGAGACTGTTCCTGATGTTTCGTTTGTTTGGGATTTTCACTGGAGACTAGGTTGAGCCCAACAAAGCGCCAAGATGCAGCATTGTGTTGTTGTTTGACTGTTGGCCCTGGGCAGTGTCCGTCCCGCTTCGTGACACTGAATCATCCCAGCAACTGCACGTTTGGATGACATGTCAACACATGGTTGGTTTCTATGTTGCTGATCCAATTTTATTGTGACCCCGTTGCTCTCCTTCTGGACCCGGGCCGGGCATTCCACTTGTCTACACTTCCAGGGCTCCTTTCCTCTCTTTATTGTGTGGGTGTGCCACCGCGACTCCGTTTGAGCCCATTGGCCGGATGCATTGATTCACAAACATGATGAACCCATTTTGGATATTTAAATTGAATCGATTTTACACTTTCACACCATGGTTTCGTGTTGAGGTTTGCCACTGAGAAGTCCCTAGGAGCCCAAGATCTCCTTATGAGGCTTTTGGGGGTCAAGGCCCTCATATTTAGGGTCTTGGGCTCCTAGGGAGTAGCACTTTTGAAGGCGTGTTGTTGTTTTTTGCGACCAACGCATCGAATCAGCCGCGAGGCGATTCCGGCATGGCTGCGCTTAGAGCAGAACCAGGTCGGGGAAGTCAGCCCACCTTCGGTGTGACAAGTTGGGTTTCGTCCACTTTCTTGGATTCCAGAGCACGTGTTTGACCCTTGCGCCTGGAACATTTTGATGTGTGCACGCGGCCAAAAGTGTTTCAGAGTCACTTGGATGAAATTCGACTCACTTCCTGAGTTCCTGGACTTTAGTCACTTTTTTAGTTTGGACCATTTAGTGGCAAACGAACAGCTTGGCTACTTTGTCTGGGCTACCCACGCAGGAAGTGAGTCAGCGATTCCAAGAAAATCCCCTGCAAAGTGCGGAAGTTGTCATGTTCACACAAAGAGGGGATTGTCACACCCATGCACGATTCCCTCTTGAAAATGACATCCGAGAGGGTTTGCATGCAGGGAGCGAGGTAAGGGCAAGCCTGTCAGCAGTGTGACCCCTATGTAGGTCAGGAAGCGACTCGGACCCGGCTGAATTGGTCTCCATGTTAAGTAGATGGGGGTTGATCAATCAGTGAGTCATGTGGTGACCACAGGGGAACCCCCCAAAAAATGACGTTCACCACATGGCAATTGCTGGTAGATTTTCTTTCAGAGGCGCGGGGGCTGGGATCCTTTTTTGTTTCCATCTTAGTCGGCTGGCAGTTTAACGCTTTTTTTTTGTTGGGCAAAAGTCAAACGCGCAGAGAAATCCCCAGAGAGTTGCCCTGCCTCTTTGTGTGAAGGGGTTCCCTTCAAGTTGTGTGTGTCTTGTCTTAGGACGGTTCCTTTTGGTTTACCTTCAAAGCCAACCCAAAAGATCCAAAAAGGGGTTCCCAAAGACAGACCCATGTCAACCTTGACAGTCCATTGGTACCGAGAGTCCATGGGTTTCGAGCGCTCAGTCGGGTGCTCCGGCAGGCAACGAGCATAGATCACCTGCTCTCCGTGCTTCAGAAGGACGGGATGTTTGGCTTCAACCTTTTGATACCTTTTCCAGCACTCCCCCCCCCCCCCCGAAAACTAACTACTGCCTTTTTGGCCAGTACTTGTTTTTTTGGGACATGGGCAAAAAGCAGTTGTCGGGCAGTGGTTGGGGAACATGATGTTCCCTCCACTCTGCAAAAAGTGATTCACTTTCTGGGCAGGCAAGGGGAACGCCCAAAACGGGTGGGTTCCTGATGGCTTCCAACCTCAGAAGGTTGGGCCTTTGGCTCCATATCTTCCGGATGCACTGCTAGGTCCCCCAGCGATTGGTGCCCTTCTCACCCCTTTTTTGATTGAAATAGACTACAGCAACAAAAATCGGGTACCCTTATTCTAACCCCTCTACTTGAGGACCTAGTAGTGACCCTGCCTTCAACTGAATGCAATGAATTCACGCCAATCTGCAGCCGCCATGGCGTGCGGGGGCAGCTGTCAAAAGCAGTCAGCACTCAAAGGCAACCTTGGCAAGGCTCAAACATACGCCTATGTCGCTTTGGAGTCTGGCTATTTTCTTAGCTGTTATGTCTCAAATGGCAGCGTTGCGTGTTCTCTCCAGCTCTGAGCGGCGCTCGGCATCACTGTATAACGACGAGTGCGGCTTGGTGACAGATGCCTGGAGCCTCCGCATTCGCACACAATACCTGGCGCCCGATTGATCGATCCATACCCCACACACATTGAAGCACGCAAGTACATTTTTTATAAGATTCCCCGACAGACGCGGGCCTGAGCCTTTTGCGGAGTGTTATTTTTTCTTGGCACCAGGCCCGGACTTGTGACCAAGCCCCTGGAATTCGCAGAAAAGAACACGAGCCCCGAGTGGCAAAACGAGCTGGATGACTCAGTTGCTCAAAGCGAATCAGCCTTTTGACTTTTTGGTTTTCCAAGTTTGGTCTATCTTTAGTAAAGGCCCCAAAAGGTTAACCTTTCATTCCTGGGTCCTCTGGGCGACTGAGATGAAGGTCCGAACGGGTTTCCTCATGTCAATTTGCCCGATGCATCCTCGTGGACAAATTGATCCCGGGGTTTTGCAGGACCCTGTGCGGCTCCGCTGCTTGGCAAAAAAAGACGGAAGAACCCCCGGCTTTGTGGGGTCCCACATTGCCAGACTTGGCTGTTTGCCCTCTTGTTGCTTGAGTGTTTTTCCTCCATGTCCCTACGGGTTGTTTGCAAGTGGAGGAGTTCCTCTACGAATGTGTATGTGTGACTTTGCAAGCGGACGGGCCGTGGTTTTGGAGAAGGATGTTGGTTTTGAGTGTGGCAGGTACGGTGACTGTCCTAATTAATGTGTGGCGGCGCACCAAAGTTCGGTGGCATCGTGCGTGCCCACGCATATTTCGAGTATTGGAACGTTTGCTTTTGGAGCTCCAAGCGATAACAGTCACATGCGCTAGTCTCTTTTCTTGATGTTGCCCTGCTGGTGAGGGGAAGGCATCTGGACGGTATATGCTTTCTGAACCCCGTACAAGGGGGTTCTCCTTGGCTGAGTGTTATCCAGGGAATGCCCCCCCCCCCACCCACCCCTCACCCCTCACCTCCCCTCACCTCACCCCACAACCCCCCCCCCCGTCCCCCCCCCCTCGCCCCACCCACCTCTCCGGCGATCGAGGCTACTGCCCCGCTCTGCGAGAGGCGGGCTGCAGTGCCTTCCGCTGCTCCGAGGCAAAGGTCCGGGAGGACGCGGTGGGATGGTGGGCCTCGGGGGTGTTGGGGAGGGTGGGGGGGGGTGGCAGGGGAGCAGATTTCGCAACCGAGGGATGGGCCTGATGGTGGGGGTGTTTAGGTGGGGGGTGGGATGAGGTTTAGGTGGGTAAGGGGTGAGGCGAGAGGAGAGGGCTGACCTTTTGGACCCAAAGCCTGAGCCCGTCCGTCAACTGAGCAGCTCGTGGCTGGAGAGCTAAGGAGCTGAGCGCCCAACGGATTGAACCGGGCCGCATTTCGAGGGGGGTTCCTCCATGGCATAGGCTCAACATACGTATCCAGTCTACATTGTCAATTTTAGGGGAGGGGCACCAGGGGATGAGCTTCAGATTTCAATCAAGCAAGGAGGACTTCGAGTTTATCCTTTGGATTTCCTCCACTTTCCCTTTGACCAGGAACAAGTCATTGTTTTGCAGGGGGTGTATTATGTCTGGCCAATTATTGGGGTTTATGTCATAATAGGAAACATGGTCAAATGGTGGTGTTCCGTGTTGCTTTCCTTGACACCATCCAGGAAGAAAGAGTACTGTTTGAAAGCGCATTTTGTTTACTTGCAAACAAGAATGTGAGCTTCATAAAAGTACACAAATCATGCAGAAGGTGTTTTTGCCCAGAAAGTTACGGCTCCAGACAAGTGGTTGCCAATGGTCCCTTGACTTGTTTATGTTCTTGTGGTTTTCTTGCGGGTGTGTGGAGCTACACATGGCTGGTGGCTAAAAAAAAGTCACTTGATCCATCGACCAGTCTTCTTGAGCAGAAGTGGAGCTTGAAGGGCCTAATTAATATCGTCGCGATCCATTTGCGAGGTCCGTTGCCATTTCCCAGGCTAAGGCATTTGGGGTTACCGGGGTTACCCGATTTGTGACCCACACCCTTCTGTGCCCAAAGGGACTTGGATTTAGCTTCCCATCGTTTTCCCTTGCCCTCGGATCACGAGCTTCCGAATTGGGGGCCATTGCAAAATCCGATTTGTTTCTAGTAGCCCCTATTGACTTTTATCAAGGCCTACTAGAAAAAAACTAGAACCCTAAAGGGTTAGGGTTAAGGGCCAAGGGGTTCAAGTTTTTTCAAGTAGCCCCTATTGACTTTTATCAAGGCCTACTTGGATGTCTCACTCCTTGATACTTTCTAGGTTTGGTTGCCATGTTGGTGGTAAACAAACAGCTCAGACTTGTTCTCAACCCACTCAGCAAGTGAGATGTTTAACCCTGATTTGTATGGGAAGGTTCGATTTTTCCGAAGCAGAGCGTTACACTGTCCACGGCCAAACTGTCAATCGTGCTTTGATGTGTTTCTTTTTAGTGGTGGCTGGAAGCAAACATAAACGTTTAAACGTTGTCAACACTTGGATTTGAACCAGTAGGTAAGGGCTACAAATGAGCGGCGAAAGTGCTCCTGCGCAGTCCATGGGTCCCCGTGATGGAACATCATGTTCTATGACTTGGAATCCAAAACCGTCCGAGAGTTTCATAAGATCTGATGTACTGCTTTGCAAATTAACTTGGAACCCGAAAGCGGGTTTGGCCCAAAGGGAGATGACTCCAATCATGTTGGTTTTGTTGGTTCCATGCGAATTATTTGTAGGGGAGTATGTCAAAGTGCGGGACTTTTGCGCGCGCCTGAAAACAGCCGCTCGGCTGCGAACACTCGCCCTGTTGGCAAATGTGTTCAAACAACCAGCCTTATTCTTGCTTCAGCATGTTTACCGGCGTCTCTTCCAAAATCTCGGACTTAGGGTGAATCTGAAGATGCTATTTATGTGTACCCCGAGTTTCGGGCCAAGTTTAAAGGTCTCAGCCAAAAGGAGGTGCGTTCAGCAATGGCTGGTCATCGCGCCTTAGACCTTTTAGGTTGACATAACTTTTCCATTGAGCCTAGGATAGCCTAGGTCTTCTTGGCCTTTTTCTCATTGGGGGGAGGGAGCAATGCAGAGAGCTCGTTGTTGCTTCAACTTTTTGCTTAAAAAAATGCTCATGGTCGTCAGGCCCCCCCAACAAAATGGAAGCCTACTAGCTGAACAACCCCCTGACCACAGGGGTCCTTTTTGGCCGTTTGGGTCGAAAAATAGATGGCAATTCCTGGTTTACCTGGTGGTTTCATCATCTACCAGGGAAACCCATCTATTTCCCCTGCAAGTTTTTTTTGTTTTGCGTAAATACCAATCATTGTCAGGCCCCCCCCCTCCGCAAAATGGAAGCCTACTAGCATAGCAGGCCTGTTTCAACTGGTTGAAATGCCCTGACCTGACAAACTTCTCAGGAGATGCCTCATGTCCACCTCTTCGGCATCGGCAAGCAGAAGGCTGGCAAGGGAAACCCACCAGCCTTGGACGTAGGTCCAACAGTATTTTTTTCATGGAGGACCTGGGGCCAGTGTTTTGCATGTTGAACATATACAGCCAACCATGAAAAGTTTCATGAGAAAGTGTGGAGTTTCCGCTCGTTTTCTTGGGGGCCTTCCTCAGTTCACCCTTTCCTTTCGGTGGTTTCCCAATTTGGGGCTGGGCTCGATTCCTATGTATGTTTTTTTGTTTTTCTGGGCTCGGCGATGTTTTTGAAGGTCCCATCAGTTTTCGATGGGCTCCCTGCCCTAATGTTTACAATTTGTTAATGTTGAAACGCATGTGGAAACATGAACTGTGTTTGAAATGCTTGACCATAATGGCATGTGCCATTTTGGCTCAAGCTTTGCCCTGGGTTCCTTGAACCCAATTTGTGTGAAAAAAATTGAGTTTGAACACCTTCGAACTAACCCCGATCAAGCAATGGCTTCCTCGGCAACCTCGGCCACCTCCTTTGAGCTGATTGAGGACCAGACGCTCACCGTGGAGGAGGTTGAAATGGCCAGCCAGGAGGCCCAGGAAATTCGCACACGCGAGGCGGCAGTGGCGGCCGGCCTGGTTTTGGACGAGCCCGAGGCCCCCCCGTCGGCCTCGGCTACCGACGTGATGAAGGACCTCTCCAGTGCACTGGAGCGTCTCCGTGTGGCGTTTGCCACACCGACTTCCGGCTTGGGTGCCCCTGGCCCCGCCGAGGAGGAGGACAAGGACATGGAAGATGCGGACGTCACGGAGCGGGCCACTCCACCGGAGGAGGCACAGACACCACCCACGAAGAGGCTGAGGGGTTTCGTGGCGGCTTCCCAGAAGACCACGGCTCATGTGAACAAACCGGTCTCCTTGGTGCCGGTTGAGGGCCGACCCGGTTACTTCAAGCTGGTGGACCTCCCAGACCTCTTCCCGGTCCTTCCGGCATCGGCGGCCACTTTGCTGAGGGACGTCACGGTGGAGGAGGCGGTCTCCCTGTTCCACAAGTTTGTCGGGAAGAATCTCACGGAGGACCTGGTGATTCGTATCCTGGAGGCCTATGTCCCGATGAAGATCCAGATCCGGCAGGAGGAGGTCTGGGCCTAGCAGTTCCAGAGGAACAAGGCGTGCGTTGGCACCCAGCGTATGCACAGGCTCGATGCAGGCTATTCCGATTACAAGTTCATGTGCAAGGCATGCGGCACGGGGTGGCCAGAGGCAGCCAAGCAGTGCTGGGTCTGCCCAGGCAAGGAGTTCGACCCCTTCCAGGCACCCTGGGCCACCTATGAGGCGGACGGCATCACCTACAACCTGCTCATCGTGGAGGGCAAGCCGACCTGGATCCAACGGAAGCCTGGGTGCCGCTGGCCCCGGTGGTACCCGGGCACAGGCAGACCGCAACCTGGTGGACGGCACGGTCCTGGGGAGACCTCCTCCGAAAACGGACATGGCAGAGGAGATCACCGTGGCAGACGTGGTCCCGCTCAACAGGCGGGTGGACATCCGGTGATGGACGAGCCCCCGGAGCAGCTATATAATCAGTGGATCCGTGACAGGATGGAGTTCTACAAGAGGGTGGAGCCGACGGAGCCTCCCAGGGACGAGCGGCTAGTCCTGGGCGACGCGAGCACCCCCCGCATGCGCTTCAGCTCCTCGAATGGCCTGGGGGATGTCTCCACTGCCTTGTGGTCGGTCATTTTGAGCAACCCGGAGAAGTCGGGGCTGGCGGCCATCCACTCGGTGGCAAAGGAGGCGATCATGAAGGGTGAGAGCCGCTAGGTCGTGTCTCACAGCCCCTTTGGATGTGGAGTCGTGTGATCTCTTCCCGCCGGGACTTGGGTGCCTTTGGCCCCGTCTCGGGTGGGGGGAGGAGTAAGGGTTTCTCCTTTTGGGTTCATCTTTCACCATTGTTTCCCCCCTGTTCAACACGTCACGACAGCCGGATTGCCTCGATCGGGAGGCCACATGCATTGGCTGCCCCAAGGACGGAAAAAGTGGCTGCGGCTGACTCTTGGTTTCCTTGAGGTCCCCTTGGGGTTTTTGGGGAATCCCCCGCCTGGTTGGTCTCCCCCCTCCGTGCTTTTGGGGATTTCCGGGGGTTGACTTTTGGTCTTGTCGGGCTGCGTGTGGCCTGCCTGCTCTATCTGCACTCGGCATTCTGCGCGATTGGAACATGCATGCATTGTGCCGCGGTTGGGTCCCGGCCGTTCGATAGGAGGCTCGAACCCCCCTTTTCCTCATGGCTAGGGTTTCTACCAAGTTTCTTTTGCGCCCGCCTTACACACGTCTTTGGGACCGCATTCCAAGGGTCCTATGGGACACATTGGCGGATGAGTCCTTCTCCCCGAGACAGACGGACGGGGAGCTGTTGGTCCTGATGTCTGCGCCATGGCACGGAGGAGGAGGGGAGGAAGCTGGGCGGGGAGCCGGCAGTCCGCTTCGCACAGCTCCTGGAACTTTCGGGCATTCCGGTATACCAACGACCAAGTGGTCCCGACGGACTACTTCAACGGCCTGGTGGCGTCGGCGGCGGGCAGGCTTCCCCAGCCTCTGTCCGCGGCGGACCTGGCCGACCTATGGGATAGCCTATGGTTCCTCCTCATGGCGACTGCGGATGGCAAGCCGAGCGAGAACTTTTCCCCGCTGGAGAATGAATGGGACCGCCAGGACCAACTGAGGTGGTTCTCACGAGATGACCCACCCCCACTCCAACAACCGGAGCTTCTGAAGTGGAGGCACTGGCGGCCGGGGAAAATCAGGGAAATGGAGCCCACGACCCAGCGAGCGCTGGAACTCCATATGCGCGGGAAATGGGCGGAACGGCTCCTTGCCCACTTCGCCCCTTTTGCGGAGCACATCGCATACATGCAGGACATCCTGGGGGAGGACTTCCGCAAGGAGGCATTGGACCTCTTGGGGGACAGTAGGTTCCGGACACTCAGGCAACATTGCCTGGTCTACGAGAGTCTCCGGAAGAGAGGCTTCACAGTGATTCCATGGCAGGAACGACATGTCCGCTCTCTCCTTAACCAGCTCGCCGAAGAGGAGGTCACCCCGTGCAAGTTACGGCAGGTGTGGAACACCCTCAAGTGGTTTTCCAAGACCTTCGGGTTGCTGAAGATAGACGAGCTCCATCGCCTCAAGTCCAAGAAGAGCTCATTGGAAGAGGCGCTCACGGACACGGTCACCAGGCCACAGCGCAAGGCGGTGGTCCCCAGCAAAGAGGTCATATGGGCTCTGGAGGAGGGGGCCGGCTACGATCGCCTGGGTGCCACCAGCCCCGGTACGCAGGAGGCCCCGGGGAGGAACAGACTGGGTTTCGCCCGGTTCCAGGTTGGGTGCAGCGCTCGTTTCAATGACCTCCAGCATGTTCACCCCAAGGACCTTATCCACACCAGCAACACTGTGGAGGCCTGGCAGACCAAGACGGTCTCAGCAGCACGACCCGGTTTTTCTTGATTGCTCCGAAGTACAGCTTCACGGGGATCCCCTGGTGGACTACCTGGGTGGCCTCGGTCAGGCGACTGGTATCCGAGGAGGCATTCCAGGACATGGACTACTTGCTCCCGACAGTGAGCAAAGACTTTGCAGGGCTGATCCCGAGACCTTCCACACCGGAGCGCTGAGATGGCTCAAGGATGCTATTCTCCGTCAGGGAGTTGCCCCGGGGTTGGTGAAGCCGCTGACGTGGCACTCATTCCGAGTGTTCATCCCGGACTGCGCTTTCCAGATGGGGATCCCCCGGGAGCGCCGCATGTACCTAGGCAACTGGCTCACGGAGAGCACAGCAGACGTCTACGTGCGGGAGAAGCGCAAACGTGGTTGTGGAGATTTGGGGCCAGGTAGCGCAGAAGGTCCCCAACCTGAACCTCGGGCCAGGCAGGGAACGCAGGGAGGACTTGAACCACCCGGACTGGGCGGACCCGCTCCCGCCACCAGCAGTGGACATCACGGACGCAGGACCGGACGGCCGCAAGGACCAAACCGAAAGGGAAGGGGAGGCATCCCCCACGGCACCCTCAGGGAGCGCGCCATCGACTCGCTCATGGTCATTGGTGGAACAGGGACCCGAGGACACACCAGTAAAGGCCAAGGACCTGTTTCCCGCCACCCCGGACCTCCCCCCTTCGTGTGGTGGCGGCGGTCAAACGCACAGGCAACGCCGGCCAGTCCAGAATCCACCTGCTGAATGTCGAAGGCACGGCTGTGGGGTGCGGTGGCGACCAGCGGCTTCTAAGATCCAGGAGCTCTCTGTGCTAGATTACATGCCGGAGCAGGAGGCCTATGGCAAGTGCGAACGTTGCTTCAAGAGGTATGGCTTCCCGGCGGACTGGGCACTGGAGCCTGCGGAGGTCCCCACACTGCAGGAGGACTCAGACTCCTCGGCGGACTCGGGCTCTGAAACGGATGACTCTGTAGACACCCAGTCGGAGACCGAGGTGGTGGCCCTACCTTTGACACCTAGGTGCCCCCGGCCCTGGCGACCGAGGGGAGGGGAGGCCCGGAAAAGGCCCTGGCCAGGGCCCTCAGCACAGACTGGCATCCTTCGGAAATGGCGGGTGTGCCAAACTGTCCTTCGGAAATGGCGCTATCAGTCTGCACACCCGTTCTTCAGTTTTTGAGAGTTTGAGGTGGGTGGCCCATGGGGCCCACCCAGCCGTTGACATCTGACAGGGGAAGATGAGTCCCTGGCACCAACACATTGCTCGGATAAAAGAGTTATCGCGTGCTTGTGTGGTGCCGTTTGGTTAGCTTGCATACACTTTGTTAATGTTGAAACGCATGTGGAAACATGAACTGTGTTTGAAATGCTTGACCATAATGGCATGTGCCATTTTGGCTCAAGCTTTGCCCTGGGTTCCTTGAACCCAATTTGTGTGAAAAACCCACCCACCCACACCAAGGTAGGAGGTCATGGCGGCCGCGCCCGCCAAACCACCGGAGGAGGTCCCAGCGGAGTTCAAGGAGGACGTGGCAAAGTTGCAGAAGCCACTGGCGGCCATCCTGGTGGGCAAGGAAATCCCCTGGGCCATCCAGGCGGCTCTGGGCGCATCGGGATACGTCACGGTGGAAGACCTGGCGGATCGCTGGAACACCCCGGCGGCGGTTAGGGACAATGGTCCCCAGGACCTGGGATTCCAGGATGGAGAGAATGGGTTCAACGCCCAGACCTCGGCCTTCACGGCGATCAGGCAGTTCGGGTGGCAGCCAACTTGGTCCGGGGGGGCAACCAAGGTGACCACCCGGCGGGCCAGGCGGGCCCGACAAAGGCTCCCTTGGAGGTCCTGTGTGACAGGCGCCAGCTGGAAGATGCTTACGTGGCCACGCATGGGACCCCGAAGCCGAGGTTGGAGTTCCAAGGTAGTGATGGCTACCTCAAGAAGCAATGGCGCATGATTGCCAAGGGCGAGCTGGGCTACATCCCGGCAAAACACATCGTGAGCGCGCTCCCGGAAGAAGGGGAACGCCCCTCATCCACCCACAAGAAGATCACGGTGGACGGCTGGGACAGGGAGGATGAAGAAGAGGTGAGGAGCCACCCTACATCTCGGCGCCAGCTGGAGCGATTGCACCTAACCTTCAGGACGACGCTCCTGATGTGCACGGCAGCACTGCCACAGTTTGGCAACCTGAGGGTCACCAAGGAGGAGCTGGATGATTGGTATGCCTGGTTCTATGGGGAAGACATAGCCGGCAGGAAGCCTCCCCCGAGCGACACCACCTTGCTGTTCGCAGAGCGCAATGCATGGCGCAAGATTCACGAGATGGTGCACCAGGGCACCACTCTCTCCGAAGCCCTCAAGAACATCAGGGGCGACTTCCTCTTCTGGCAACGGGAGGTCTATGAGCACCTCAACAGGGCGCCGGAGAAGGGGAAGAGCAAGAGCAAGGCACCCAAGGTGTGGCAGACTCAGTGGGAGAAGCCCAAGAAGGGGGGAAAAGGCTCCTGGCCCTCGGGGCCGACCCGGTCCAAGCCGAAGGGCAAGGGCGGCAAGGGGAAGTCCCCCAACACCCCCTCGACCCCATGGCCGGACCACTGGGCTTTCACTGCAGAGATCATCACCTTCACAACAAGTGTTCGGGATCATGCGGCCGATCCCACAACTGCCCGGTCAGGAAGGATGGGTGGGTGTGTGATGCCCCCCCATCGAAGCATGTGCCACAGGCATGCCCACACCTTCCCAAGTGACAGGAGGCCACTCAGGGTGCCATAGGCCCCGTGGCTTCCTGGTCTCGTTGGGATCACAGGCCACCAGTGCGAGAGTGCACACAGCGGGGGAGAGCCAACCCCACCAGAGCCACAGCGGAAGGCAGACAGAGCGGGGGAGGCCAGGACGGCCGCAGGTGGGAGGGGATTTCTCCAGGGTGCCACCGGCCCCGGAAGCCCCTCCACCGAAGAAGAGGAGCGGACCCAGCCAGGGCACTCCAGAAGGGCGGAAGCACCCCTTTCCCCCGCACCCACCGAGGCAGTGGGAAGAACCCCCAGAGAGACCCAGAGGTGAGGATCCGCCCGGCAGGGGCGTTCCAAGGGCGGGCAGAACCGCCAGGGCAAGCAGCAAGCCCAAGGACAGATGACTGGAGGGTCAGACAAAGGACACACGGAATCCTTAGGGGGGGCAAGCCCCACCTTCCCATGGATGCAGGACACCCCGGAAAGACTGAGGCTAGACTAAGGTGAGGACCGTTCCTGGGACCGGTCCTGGGACCGGTCCTGGGACTGGGTCTGGGACTGGTCCTGGGACCAGTGAGAAGCAGGGTCTCGCAGCGGCCATCCTTTGCAGAGCGGGACCCGTCCTGGAGGCGCTGAGGCCGGGGGGCATGGTGCCCCAGGCGACCCCAACGACCGCCCCGAGGCGACAGAGGGAACCTTCTCCCAGCACGCCGGGGGACAACAAGCGCCAGTCCCGGAGGCTGCAGGCCGGCCAACAAGCGTTGGCGGGACTAACCTTGGGCTCACTTCCGGTCTCGGCCTCAGACAATCCGGAGGTCCGGACACCAACACAGCCGGCTGGCGGGATGGTCGAACTTCGGGGTGGAACTCTTTCCCCTGAGTCATGGGCACGCCTTTGCATGGAGATCTCAGATCGGCCCACCACCCTGCCGATCACACGACCCAAATCTCTCCGACAAGGTTATGTACCTCCAGATGGCCTTCAAACAGCCCCCTAAGGGACGGGGGTGGGAAGCCCTCACTGGGACGGATGGCCCCGTGGACTCGGCCACTATCCAAAGCAGCAACGATGGGGGCCAAGATCTGTGTCCTCACTTCGCCATGGGGGGACAAGCTCCAGGAGTCGCTCTCGTTGGGGGACGGGTCAATCCCTTCCTGGAGGACCTGCTGGAGGATATCAGGGAGATCCTGGCGCCGGGGGCAGGCCGACCAGCTGAAGGCCAACCCTTCTTCCTGGACATCTTGCACAGCGTGGCGCTGAACATTCAGGACCCCGACCACCAGTTTCCTCGGGATCTGGAACAAGGGGTCCCACTAAAGGTCACGGACCCACCCCTGGCCTCGCCGGGCATCTGGCCACTCAAGAAGGAGCTAAAAGGGGAGGAGCCGGAATTCTAGGAACTCCCTCATCCCACGGGCCGGGGTAACTACCCTTCGGCGGATCACTTCAGTGAGCTCATCCGTGGCACATTCCTGGAGGAGGTCCCCATGGGCATGGTAGAGGGCCCCTTCACCAAGGTGGAGGCAGCATCGCGCTGTGGCTGCGAGATTGAGGACCTTTGTCCCGGCCCCCTAGCGGGCATCGACGAAGGGGACAAGATCCGCACCATCTACGATGGCTCGGTGGGCGGGGCCAATGACACCATCAGGAACCAGACGGTGGAAAGGACGACGGCTCCGACGGTGCTGGATGGGGTACAAGCTCTTCATTGGCTACATGCGGCAGCTGCGGAGGGACCTCCCTCTCAGGGTGCCCCTGGCCCCGAGAAGGAGGTCGTCAAACCTCCACCTGGGGGCTGGCTATGGCCGGAGCCGGGCACCAGGTGGGTGCTGCTCAAGGCGGACGTCACCAAGGCCCACCGGAGAGTGAAGGTCCTCAGGAAGGACTGGCGGTTCCAGGTGGCTTCACTGGGGGAAGAATGGTGGGTGAACAAGGTAGGCACATACGGCATGGCCAGTGCCCAATCCTACTGGGGACGCCTGGCAGCCCTTCTACTCAGGGTCCTCTACGCACTTTTCCCTCAAGTGGATTGGAACTTCGTCTTTGTGGATGACTTCCTGTGGCTGCTTCGCAGCGAGGGGGCAGTAAACTTGGCGGTGGCGCTTTTGGCAACACTCCTGGCCTTGGGCACCCCGCTTAGCTGGAAGAAGACACATTTGGCGGAGGTCAACACGTGGCTGGGCTTCGTGGTCCACCCGAACATCCCGCAGGTTCTCATGGCCGCCAACAAACACATCCTGGTAATGGAGGTCTTGCAGACCATGGTGGAAGGGCAGGCGATGCACTCAAAGGACATCGAGAAGGCCCTGGGCCGCATCCAATGGGCAACTGCTGCATGTCCGCTGGCGAAGTCGATGCTTCAGCCACTTTGGGCCTGGAAGATGGCCACCACCACGGTGGGGAAACCCCCCAAGGTGGTCAGGATGCTGGCGTTCATGCTGCGGTTCCTCTTCAACACGCCCTTCGTCCAGTACTCCCCTTACTTGCCGAAGTCCTCTTGGTGGGGTTGCAGCGATGCTAGCGCCTCGGACGAAGGACTGGCATTTGTGGGAGGATGGTGCTCCAACAAAATGGAGCCGGAAAAGAAGGAGGTGTACTGGTTCCACGAGCAGATCCACGTGGAGGAGTACCCTTGGGCATTCAAGAATGGGGATCCCAAGCGGAGGATTGCGGCTTTGGAAATGCTGGGCACGCTCTTCCTCTGTAACATGATCCTCACGCACCAAGGCCCGGTGACTCACTTCCCCTGGTGGCAGACCCCCCTGTGGCCTGGGTGCCCCGGGCCCCGGCTCAGGGGCGGGCGCTATCAGTCTGCACACCCGTTCTTCAGTTTTTGAGAGTTTGAGGTGGGTGGCCCATGAAGCCCACCCAGCCGTTGACATCTGACAGGGGAAGATGAGTCCCTGGCACCAACACATTGCTTGGATAAAAGAGTTATCGCGTGCTTGTGTGGTGCCGTTTGGTTAGCTTACATACACCTTGATTAATAAGGCCCCCCCCCCCCTGAACAATGGAGGCGCCAGAAAAATGTAGACTCACTTTTGGGACGTCCAAACAATGGAGGATTTTAGGGCCCAATTCTACTTTGGGCTCCCTGCCCTGGTTGTTTGGGATTCCTCGCTCTAGGACCTCCCAGATCTACCGGAGCTCCCGCAACTCGAGTCCATGGCACTGGCTGTGGCAGACTCGGCCACTCAGCCAAGGGCCAAGGGCTCATGGAGACTCGGGAGGGGACGCTGGTGGTTGTTTTGTGGTTTTTCTAGTCATAGCAACTGAGCAGAGTTGAGTTTTTGCTATGGCGTCGTTTGGAATTCCGGGAAAACTCTTTGTATGCCTCGGAGGCACCGCGGCAATTCGGGGAACAGGATTGCGGAGGCAGTCCGCGTAGGCTGTGCAAGAAATCCAGCATGAGCTGTGCAAGTGTAGGCATGCCTTCTACACAAGCTTAAGAGTAGCGCCCGAAGAAACACTGCGCAGGCACTCCGCTTTTTGGCGCTAACGCGGCGTAGGCTCGGCGATGTTTTTTTCTTTTAGATATCTACTCAATTGAGCGCCCCAAGCCCCACCCCCCGATTCGATCGTCCACTTTTATGATGGAAGGAAAGAGGGTAAGGAGCTAAATACGACTACAGGGTCATTACTAGCTTATGGTCATGCCCCCCACAGCCCCGTTCCAGCGATCGAGGCCCTCATGCTATTGTAGGGGGTTCTACCAGGATGAGGGTTAGTCTTCTTTGTCCAAGGAGACTCGAACTGGGCCATGGGTGTCCGTTATTTGTTGGGGTTGTTTTTGTTTTGTCCAAGTTGGCTGTCTGTTTGGCTGTTTGGCTGGCTGGCTGGCTGGCTGGCTGGCTGGCTGGCTGGCTGGCTGGCTGGCTGGCTGGCTGGCTGGCTGGCTGGCTGGCTGGCTCACTGGCTGGCTCACTGGCTGGCTGACTGGTCGGTTCGTGGTCGGTCGGTCTGGTTAACACCAGATGGCTTCCTCTGTACCATTGAGTTGTCCAAAGGTACCTAGGACTAGACCAACGGTGTTTTTGGGAGCTTGGTAGGGTTGTACCGTATTTTCTTCTTCTGGCGCAAGTGTTTGTTTTGCCAAGCTGCATGCGGACTTTATTGCTGGAAAGGGGACTTCCATGCATTTTCCACACTGGAACTTCAAAGAACAGCTCCCGGTACCCTCATTTCATATTTTTGACGATGATGATCAGGAAGCCCAAGCGGAACGTTTGGTTTCGCCTGCTAAAACCAGCCAGAAAGAGTTTGTTTTTGCTCCCCAAATTAGGACACCCTTTGTGCCAACCTGGTTAGTTGGGGTTAGTTGCCGAGTTCGTGTACCGTGTTTTTTTGCTGTTTTTGGAGAACCACGGGGCTTCCTAAAAGCTTGGCCCAGCCGTCCGGTTCCTTAGCTTCTTAGGCTTTTAGGGTTTAGTGGTAGTGTCCATTCAACACACTAAAAGTTAAACTTTTAGCAGGGGATCGGAAAACGGGCAGCCCAGAAAACATAGCCAACCACAGAGGGCCAAAGTCATGCAGCGTCTCAAGACCGAGCGGCGAGGTGGTGGCCGGCAAGTTTGAGGCCAAAGTGGAGCTGCCCGGGACCCGAACAAAAACCTGAAATCCGAAGCCTAGGGTTCAACCCCCATGAAATGAAAGGCCCCATTTGGATGATGACAATCCTTAGGAAAACATCAACAGAAAGGCAAGGACCCATTTTGGATGAAGAAAGGTTGACAATGATGACAAACCTTATTAGGATGATGACAATCCTGAGGATGATGATGACAATGATGAAGAAAAGATTCGGATGATGACAATCCTTAGGAATCCAACGGTTTGGACGAGGCCCCATGGTTTGAATGGTGGTTATGCGAACCCCAGGGCCAGGGTAACAAAACGGGATATCAAAGGGAAGCCAGTCCCGGTGGTTTTTGGGAGGTTGGCCATACAGCTCCTGAGATGTTTCAACTTGTTGAGAAGTTTGTGGCCTTGGGGGTTGCGTTTCAGGGGGTCCACTTTGTGTGAAGTATGCAGGCTGTTTTCCAGATGAGTTCTCTTCACCTCCCAGCTCAGTGCCCGTGTTTGAAACTCTTGGCTTCGCTAGAAATCGTGCGCCCCCAACATAGGTTGTTTTTGGAGGCGGAAAGTCTTCTTCCGCGCCCCCAACATAGGTTTTTTTTGGAGGCGGAAAGTCGTCTTCCCGGCGGCGACCGAGTGACCGCCATGTGCCAAAAGGGTTCCCGGACCCTCAAAGTTCCCTGAAAAAGTGGTTTAAGGCCCCACAAATATGGGGTGATGTCCGTTTCTCTCTTTTTTTTCGGGTCGTTTGAGGGTCCAGGCTCCCTTTTTTCCACCAAGGGTCACTGAACCGCTCACCGGTTTTCGCCTCGAGGCCTCTGGCGGTGTCGATCCCGGCGACACCGGCGGCACCGGCGGAACCGGTCTGCACCCGTACGGTGCAGCTGCGGGTCGACCCGGCGGCCCGGTGATGATTTAGACGGGGGAAGTGGGGGGCTGGTCATGTCTCAGAACCGGAATTCACCCCACCGAAACCAGGCAATAGCCAATTTTTCAAGGGAGTTTCGACAGGGGTCCATCTTTTTGTTTGAGGCCTGCTATTGGGTTGCATCTTTGGACTTTTAGCTTTTCGGATTCCTCTCATAGTTCCTTTTAAGCAGCAAAAAATGAAACTTTTTGCTGGGGGCTCTACAGCATCCTAGTTGCTTGTTTCCCGGATTGGTTTTGCGTATCACCTTTTTTTGGCCCATGAAAGGTGATGTTTGAAGGGGAAATAGAGGGAGCCCTGTGCATGCGCCTATTTCACGACGCGAGCTCATCGATTCGGGGGTAAACGAGCGAAAGCCGTGATGAAGGTCCTTTACTTGGGGATCCAGGTCTTAGGAATTATTCTAGGGGATGGTTCCTTTTCCATTATTTTCAGCCCTCGGTCTTTTCAAAATCTGGCCGTGTCCCCTGGGTTTCTGGAGGTGTTCTAGAAAGAAGGATCCCTGGAAAGGATGGGGAAGGTACCCTAAGAATTATTGTATAAATTGCAGAGTCATGTATTCATTAGGTCGAAACTCCCCTTACTAGGGACGGCAATGAGCAATGGACCGGTTCGAGAGCCCCCCTCTCTCAAGGAGTTCTCGACGTTTTGCAGGGCTTTTTTCCAACAAACTTACCTCTTAAAAACACAACTTTTCAACTTTTTGGGTAACATGGGCTATATGTCTGTAAAAGATTAACTTCCCCAGGGCTTGGAGTTTTAAGGGGTAAGCAAAGATACGGTAAACAGCAAACCCAGTTTGTGGCCGCGTTAACATTCGGGTCCCAATCTGTTAAATTAACGCTTCCCCATGTGTATCCGTTGAGCTTTAATTGGTTAGAACTGAAAGGACTTGTTGGCTTGCCAACCCCTGGTGTATGGGCAACAAACAACATGCTGTTCTCTGCTGCACACACTATATACAAGTCAGCCGAATTCAAGAACAGTAAGGCAAGGGTTTGTTCTGCAAGCAATATCCTGGACCTGATGTGCTGCTGTGCTCTTTCGTTCTTGCCGTGCCCGGCATTTGGTGGAAGGCATGTTGTGTGAAATGTCGTGCTACCTCAAGTGGATTCTCATACACAGACCCCTGGAAGAATCATGTATAGGCTGCACACATGGTTTGGATTCGTGCTAAGTCGGTGCCTGTTTGAGTTTGACCGGAAAGTAGGAGGAAGCCCAATTTTTGTCCGAACCGAGAGGAAGCTTGATGTTGACCGAAAATCAAGAGGGAACCCCTTGCAATTGTTCTGGATCCCACCGGATGCCCACGTCTTAGGACACTGGAGCTGGGCTGGAGATGAGCGCTGGAAGCCGAGTGAGGGAAACTGGCGGAGTGGCATACCTCAACTTTGCCGTTTTGGACCTCCAAGGGTGGCCCTTTTAGTTGGAAACAGCATCAGATTGCAATGTTCAAAGGGACATCCGCAGGTTTGGTCTGGCTTTCGTTCCTTGGGTGGTGGAGCCCCTGAAAAAGGGGGGGGAAAGCTGATTGGATATCTGTCGTTTTCGCTCGGCTTTTTTGGGTGGGCTTTTTGGTTGGACATGCTCCCATCATCCTCCCAGAGTTGATTTGACCCGTACTCAACCAGGGCCATCTATGTCGCCCAAAAGGAGCTTGGTTTGGGCTTCGCGAGCCAATTGCGAGGATTTCGGCGGTTCTGAGCCCATCGAGCATCCCCGGCTTCGCGTCCGTGAGCGCACTGGATCTGTTCATGTGTGTGGTTTGTGTTTATGTGTTTCTCTTCAAAAACTACATATGTACACATGTGATTTGTTTGGAGGGACAAGACTAAATTTGGAAAATAATCAGACTATGATTTTCTGTGTACCCGAGATGTGGGCCAAGTTTGGTTGCACTTACGAGCTCACCAATGGGGTGCACGACACGAAAACACATGAATGCCCCTTACTTTTTGTGGATTCCGTAGTTCAATCATAGTTCAGGCCAACCCTGCATGGTTTGGATTGGATTGGTTTGGATTTGGATTTGAACCCCTGGTCCTTGTAGATGGCAACTGGGAAGCCGCTCCATCGCCACACAAATCGCCCAACCGCCAATCAGAGAGAAGCTGACAGCTCAACCGAAATTCATCGACGAGGACCTTGAGGTTTGGGCCGGAAAAGCACAGGGGAACCAGCAGGCCTGAAAAAAAGTAACCAACGACATAAGGATGTGGCTCAAAATTAAACTGGAGGGGCAAACCGCAGGTTTTTGTCTATGTTTCCACTTAACAGGGTTCCATGTTGGTACCGGTTTTTTGAGCCACAGCCATAAACAAGAACACAGCAACAACATGGTTGTGGCCAATATGGTTTTTAGGTTGCCACTGTTTCTGACACCAAGAAAACTGTGTGCGTTGTATTTTTTTGAATTTGCCCATCACGCAGGTATTTGGTAGTTTGTTTCGCTCAGTCTCCTTTTGGTCCTTTTGGTGATGTGGGTGCTTCTGTCGGGACCTGGCCGCCTTTAAGTTTGTCTTAGAATGCTGACCCCCTGCCAAACCAAAAACCACATAACATGTGTTTCCCTTTGGTTTTCCATAAAACTTACCCCAACAAGGTTACCCTCACAAAAAGACAGGTTCATTTTGAGAAATTCCGATGATTATTTCCGCCTGGCAGCCAATTGAAATGGCTTCATTTCGGCAAGCGAAGCTCAGGCCCATTCGCACGGATACCACGTGGATGGCATCGAGGCTCTGAGACAATGTTCGATTTGGGCCGGCAGCCGTTTGCTCCAATTTTCTTGGTGGCTCCCAGCGATCACCTGAAATAGGCTTTTAGGGTTTAGTGGTTTCCACCACACCATTAGACAAGTTAGACTTTTAGCAGGGACAGCCCCATTTTGAGAAATGGAAGCACCAAAAAGAGTGAGAAGCACGAATGAGCCATTCCCGATTCCAGTCGAACTCGCGACTCCGCATTGCAAACTCCACATATAGAGTCGGCATGACATGTCGCTATCGAAGGCCTCGGCTTGGGGATTAGCGAAGCCTTGCTATTGACTTACGTAGTTTAGACTCAGCCAAATTGAGCAGGGCTCAAATGGCAACGGTCACGTTTTTTTGGGTTGAAGGGTGATGGAGATGTTGTTGTTGTTTTTGTTGCTGCCGTAGTGTGGTTCGTTTGACATCACTTTGACTTCATTAGGGTTGGTTCAACTGAGCCTTGATATGAGGTTTGCTTTTGGGTCGAGGGCTGTGAGATGTTCACGGCGATTGGAGCGAGCAAAGGAACGGTTGGGAGCGGATGACCCTCCTTTTGCTTTGGACGCCGTCCTGCTACATTCCAGTACTTTGATCTGCGGATTTCGACAGGAAGAGCCGGGCCAAGATCTCGAACCGGGAGATGTGCTGATGCTCGGCCATGAGTCGCTGCTATTGAAAGTCCACTGGGCCCACATGGCTGTGGCTCAAAAATAGGTACCCAAAATGGCACCCTGGTAAAATCGAAGCAATGACTAAAACCTGTGGTTTTCTGGTGGTTTAATTTTGACCCATACCCACATGAAACAGCTAGGGATGATGTTGGCTGCCGATTTTTCTGGCAAGCTACAGACAGCTATGATGCAGGTCCTCTAAAAATCCAATTCTCACTTCAGCCTTGGCAAGGTTCCTCAATTTTTTGGACGCGTTTTGGTGTCGCTTCGCAAGCTAGGCTTTGGGCCCGAAAAGAATCGCGCTTTGTCAACGCTGGGGGATTCTCTGACTTCCGCTTTTTGGGTTGTAAGTTGTTCCGAATCTCGACGAGCGGGCGGAGGTTTGTGTGTGTGTGTTTCCTTCAAAAGCACCCCCCCCGCATCCAGTACGCAGGGCATAGACATGTTAGGCGTCTCCAGAGGAAGTCAGCAACACGGTTCCTTTCATAGGGCCATCTCGGATCCCTGAAATCAAGGCGCGGGTATTCAACTTGGAGAAGTACGTCGTCTTGGTTTTGAGTCGGTTTCCAATTTGGGCCGTGTGTTGTTTATTGGGAAATCAAAATGGAACCGAGGCCATTTGTTGTGTCCCTTTGAGTTGTTTCCCAATTTGGGGAGTGTGTGTTTGTGTGCGTTCTTATTGGGAAACCAAAAGGCCATTTTGGGTCCCAAAAATACGAGCCTGTATTGCCTTATCGCGGAACTCGCAACGTAGTTGGGTCCTCTTCGGCCTACCTCAAAAGCTCACTTCCTGAGTTCCGGGACTTGAGTCACTTTTTGGGTTTGGCCAATCCACTCGTTCGGAAGTGAAGAAGCGACGTCACGGGAACACTCAAAAGAAGACCAGCCATATCCGAGCTACAGGGCCTCGTGAAGGTCCAGGAACCAACATGGATTTTCGACTTGCCAACTAAGTGGTTGCTTCCATTTTCTTAGGATGTGTGTTTTAGTTTGCCTGAAAGGAATATGTTTGACATTTGCCCCGTTGGTTTTAAAGGGAATCTGTCACTATTGCATGTGTTTTGTTTCAGGGGGCTTAAGCAAATGGAGGGTTGGTCACCTGGGCTTTAACCCACTAACAAGGTTGGATCTACTTGGGGAACTGATCACCAGGTCGCTTAGGTTACTAGGCAAACACCCAACTAAGGGGATTACTTCAACCCCTTTGACCTAGTTGAGTTTCAAAGGACCCTTTTCGCCGTGTTTGTTGATCGCATTTTCTAGAGGGATATGTTTCAGATAGTTGACACTGTAGGTAGCCAAGTATTCTACCTCTGGGTACATGATGGTGTCCCTTTCCTTGCTGCGGTTTTCCCTTGCTTTCTCTTGGTTTTCCCTTTACCCTGCTTCCCTATGGTAATGTTGACCCTGATTACTTCATCCCGATCAGGGGGGTCGCTTTTTGATGGGGATTCCTTTCTTCCAGGGTCTTGGACCCCCCCAAATTAACAACTGGGCGGGAGGGTGTATTGATCAGGAGCGAACATGTTGACCCCCAGCTTGGTAAACCCCTGTTTGATTTTACTGGGGGCGTGTCCCCTTTTTGTGGGGATTTATCACGTTGGAGGAACCACCCCCTAACTTGGTGGTTCCCAGCCTTCCTCTTAGCCTTTTATGTTGGGTTGGTTTAGTGGTTGGGTTTCCCTTTTAAGCCCCAAGTTAGTCACTGTTAGCAGGGCATCAGTTTTGACAACCCAGCTCATAATACGGTGGATAAACAAACTCTTGCACCACTTTGAAACCATGGTGCTTGTTGGTATTTACAGGGAAGTCATCATTGCAGGGTTTATGTCTTGGTGCAGGAAGTCGTCCATCCACAGTAAGACGGGTTTATTAATGGGAGCACTGGGAAAGATCGCCCGAAACGGCTTAGGCTCTCGGTGGACGGTGAGGCGCTCTGGGGCGACCTTTCTGAGGACGAGCTCAGCGAGGTGTCGACAATGAGAGAGACGCAGGGAGCGGGCGACCACGTTCAGGGAAACCAACTAGCAGGGATACAGGGGGAACCAGGGAAACGGGAGGATTCCCCCGTTTGATGCACCTTGACTAAGTTTGATGTGGTGGAAATGGCGCCAAGTTGGAATCCCCCATATCGGGACCCGCTCCCTCCGTATCCCCGCTTGTTCGTTTGTCCAACGTAAACAAGACAACTGCTTCGGGTCCTGGGCTTTCGTCACTTTTGGGGTTGCCCATCCACTAGGTCCCCCAGTAGTGCCCTTTCTCAGCCTTTTTTGGTTGTGAGGGTTCCTCTACTAAAATAGACCACAGAAAAAAAGGTGGGTACCAACTTATTCTAACCTCTAGACTAGTTCGGAAGTGATAGAGAACCAAGGCCTCGTTTCCAAGCCCCGAGAATCGAAGCAACAATACTGGTTTGTGACTCAATCTCGTCCCGGTAGGGTGATGTTTGAAGGAGTTTTCACAGGAATCCTTCTTGGCGGGAGGTGCCGTTTTTTTGGAGGGTACCGTGTGCGAGGTTGGTTTTTAAGGGGAAGCCGAAGGCCATTTTTGAGCGTTCCCCAGTAGGCAAACCTAGTAGGCTGACTTTTAGGAGAATGTTTAGACCCCCCCCCCAAGAAGGGAGTGTTGGGCCTTTGTTCCCACCAAAAACACTCCCCAACACTCCCTTTTTTGGGGTGGGTTCCGTGTTGCTTCCCTAGAACCCAAAGGGGGCCCTCACAAAAAGGACATCAGGAGCCTTCCGTGGGTAAATTCAATGCAGCTGGGTGGCACCCCCCCCCCCTACGTGGTCCCCCAATTCGAACAACACCCAAGCAAGCCTGCGGTTCTGGTTTCGGGACCCACTTGCCACCAACCAGACGTTTGTTTTTTTTGTTGGTGAAACAGCGGCAGCAATTCGTAAAGTAGTGGATTCTGTTTTCATCTAAACAAGAGTCATGCGCATAGGTGTCCTTTTTGGTTGATTTGCTTTAACAATAGAGGGCGATTCCTGGTTTACCTTGTGGTTCAATCAACTACCAGGGCCATCTATCTTCCCAAAAGGGACACCTATGCTCGTGCGTTGATGGGGCCTCAAAAAGTGCAGCGGTGTGGATGTACGGTCAAGAGGGAAGGTTTGCGCAAGACGGCAGCAAGTTTCCCGCGCGGGTGCGCGTACGGAGAGCGTACAGGCACTTTGCGCGCAAAAGAAACAGCAGATTTGGAAAGCAGAAACAGCAGATTTGGGGGGGAATGGAAACGCAGTCGAATTTGAACAAACGTCATACTTTGGCACATGTTCAACGCAGAGTGTGTGTGTGTGTGTGGTTGTGTGGTTGTGTGGTTGTGTGGTTGTGTGGTTGTGTGGTTGTGTGGTTGTGTGGTTGTGTGGTTGTGTGGTTGTGTGGTTGTGTGGTTGTGTGGTTGTGTGGTTGTGTGGTTGTGTGGTTGTGTGGTTGTGTGGTTGTGTGGTGTGTGTGGTTGTGTGGTTGTGTGGTTGTGTGGTGTGTGTGGTTGTGTGGTTGTGTGGTTGTGTGGTTGTGTGGTTGTGTGGTTGTGTGGTTGTGTGGTTGTGTGGTTGTGTGGTTGTGTGGTTGTGTGGTTGTGTGGTTGTGTGGTTGTGTGGTTGTGTGGTTGTGTGGTTGTGTGGTTGTGTGGTGTGTGTGTGTGTGGTTGTGGTGTGTGATGGTGTGTGTGTGTGTGTGTGTGTGTGTGTGTGTGGTGTGGTGTGGTGTGGTGTGGTGTGGTGTGGTGTGGTGTGGTGTGGTGTGGTGTGGTGTGGTGTGGTGTGGTGTGGTGTGGTGTGGTGTGGTGTGGTGTGGTGTGGTGTGGTGTGGTGTGGTGTGGTGTGGTGTGGTGTGGTGTGTGTGTGTGTGTGTCAGGTGGGATTTTCAGAATCAGGGTTTGGTGGGGGTTCCATTTAACCCACTAAAAGTGTGCTTAGTGACAACGACCACCGAATCCTGGCTAAAAACCTAAGATGAAGCTTGGTGGCTCTCAGCCATCCCCTTAGCTTTTTAGTTGTTTAGTCTTTAGTGAGGTTTTCCATTTTGCCCAATACAAGTTCGTCACTTTTAGCGGGGATGTGAGGACAGCTCAGGAAGGTTTGACCAGGGGCTCTGGGAACCACCCAGCTCAAATGGCAGTGGGTCAAACTGTATTGGGCTATCCACCGTTGGGTTTTTGTGTTTTGGGGGGCTCCCTTTTCCGTGTTTCTTTTGCAGTTTCGTCGGCCTAAGCGCCGTGAGACGACTCACTGTCCGTTCCGCCTTTCACAACGAGTCATTCGGTCGCCTCATGGGCTCCCGAGTGATTCGGAGCATCTTCAAATGGCAGTGGGTCCAACATAGGTACCCAAAGTGGCACCCTGATAAATGGAGACACTGACTAAACAAATGACTAAACCCTCTTGTCCATATCCTGGTGGTTCAATTTTGACCCATACCCATATGGCCATGGGCCAAAATCCAAAATCGTACCCCCAGTGAACATCCGATTCAATCCAACCACTAAAATAGGTTCTAAAACGGGTGGTGAATTCACCTACCCGAAAACGGGTGAATTCACCAATCCCAACCAAACTGGGATCAACCAAAACGGTTTTGACCACCACTGCCATCTTTTGCTCAAGTATTTAGCCAATCCTCTCTTTTTTTTGGTCCCCCTTCACCTTCCGTTCGTTCCGCGCTCCCTTGGGTAACCAAAATGGGATCGATCCCAAAACGGACCAGGCCTTCGGGCGCGAGTTCTCGGAGGGCGCGAACATCCGAGTGGCCCGGGCAGCCGACGCCGGGGACTCGGAGCTCGTCGGAGCTCGTCGGGGGGGGGAAGGCAGAAGGTCTCACTTCCTGAGTTCTTGGACTTGAAACTTGTTGGGTTTGGACCATTTCAGTGGCAAACACGTTTTTGTTCTTCTTCTTCTTCTTTTTTCTCGATTTGGGCTATCTACTCAGGAAGTGAGGGGTGGGTGGGGAAGGTCACCAGCGTGTCAGGTTCTGCATACCAAGCCCCAGGACCCTTAGGGTGTTGTACTTCCTGGTTTCATGGGGGCCATGGATACCCCTTTCAAGTCTTTGAAAAGAAAGGGAAAGCCAATCCCCAGTTTGTGACCCCGCATAAACCTTCCCACAACTGGTAGAACACAATGTGAATGGCAAAAAGGGCACTTACTTGAACCATATTTTTGCCGGGGGATCCGAGACAGCAATGGGACAGTTACAGGCGAGACTTGCATACGCACCATTTGATCTGTCAATGGTCTGTGTTGGGAGCTTGCCCCAGTCATGCTTGGTGGCCTTCCCCTGCCCCCATTTCTACCTCTCACCCCCAGAGTTCCTTGAATTGAAACGTTTCTGCAAGACCTGTTTAGTGGTAAACGAAAAGTGCAGATTTTTTTCGCCCGAAAACACTCAGGACGTGCGATCTTTCTCCTTGCCCAATGCACACATCAAGGAGTCTGCTGGCTCTGAGTTCACGAACGGACATGTTGTTCCGATTCGCCAGTATGTTGAATCGGAACAAACGCTTCCTTCTGCATGGGGGGGGGGGGGTTGAAGGATTGCTGGCTTCCATTCTTTGCCATTAGGCCCCGGAGGTCCCAGATTGCTCAACAGCGTCGAGAGCTTTCAAGAGGTAGCTTGGAGCTTGGATTGCAAACGGGGGGGTCTTTTTGAGAGGTTTGCACCGCTTTGTTTGGGGAAGCCGCACCCCCAAGTGGGCTTCCTCCGTGTGAAGATGTTTCCAGATCGCAGCTTTTTGCAGGTAGGGAATAGTACACATAGAGTTCAGCTTGAATATTGTTCAACCCGCCTCAGACACTACCTTAGCGAAACATATGATGACCATCTGCGAACAGAATGTCGATAGGGCTTCAACTGTAGCAAATAGCACCCGACTCGTCCAGCATGAGAAGAGGCCTTGAAGCTGTCAGAAGTCAGAATAGGCCTTGAAGACGTCAACATTACTCGTCCAACGTGAAAAGAGGCCTTGAAGCTGTCAAAAATGTTCGTCAGCCTGAGAATGTCAAACAAACTCGTCCAGCATGAAAACTCGTCCAGCCTGAGAAGAGGCCTTGAAGCTGTCACAAGAACTCGTCCAGCATGAGAAGCGGGCTCGGAACTGTCAAACATGACTTGCCCAGACTGACAAGAGGCCTTGAAGCTGTCCGTTTGTCAAAATTGCTCGTTTAGCACGAGAAGAGGCCCTGAAGCTGTCAAAAATACTCGTCCAGCATGAAAACTCGTCCAGCCTGAGAAGAGGCCTTGAAGCTGTCACAAGAACTCGTCCAGCATGAGAAGCGGGCTCGGAACTGTCAAACATGACTTGCCCAGACTGACAAGAGGCCTTGAAGCAGTCCGTTTGTCAAAATTGCTCGTTTAGCACGAGAAGAGGCCCTGAAGCTGTCAAAAATACTCGTCCAGCATGAAAACTCGTCCAGCCTGAGAAGAGGCCTTGAAGCTGTCACAAGAACTCGTCCAGCATGAGAAGCGGGCTCGGAACTGTCAAACATGCCTTGCCCAGACTGACAAGAGGCATTGAAGCTCGTTTAGCACGAGAAGAGGCCCTGAAGCTGTCAAAAATACTCGTCCCCTGAGAAGAGGCCTTGAAGCTGTCAAAAGCACTCATGTGTTAAAAACAGGCCTTGAAGCTGTCAAAATGAAGCTGTCAGAACTTCTCGTCCTTGAAGCTGTCAAAACCCTTTGAAATGATGGTGAAAAGGTACACATCCCATCCAGCACCCCCCCCCCCCCAAATGTCTGCGTTTTGGCCAGGGGTTTGGGACATGGGTCCCAGTTGAGGGGTGGCAAGATGTTCAGCGGGCTTCGACTCGCAGGTGGAGGGCTCCTTGGTGTGGCAGGCGCTGGGCGCTCGAGTGCGGGCGAAGCAGCTGATGTGGGCGCTGCGCCAAGACCTAGGCGAGGCGTCTTTGACTGGGACTCAAGGGTCACTGGGCGCCCCCACTGCCTCCCCCCCTCCCCCCCAAAAAAGTGTTCAACTTAAGTGTGAACTTGGGTGTTCAAATAAATTTGGGTGTTGAACTGGTGAACTTGGGTGTTCAACTTATCCCAGATGGGTCTGTTTGCAGCCGTTTTGTTGGGGCGCTTTGCACTTGCGGAGGGACAGTCAGCCAACACTGTAACACCCGGCAATTTGTTGCTTAGTAACAAACCTCCAAGTTGTTCAGCCAAGTATTTTCCTCTTGTTCCAATCAACCCCAGCCGGCAAGGGGGTGCGGGTGGGTTCCCCTCTCGTGCCTCAAGAGCCCCTTGGGAGACCCAGCGGACGCTGACTCGCCAGGCATCATGGGCGCGAGTCTGGGCGTGCGGGCGGAGTTGCAGGAGGTGGAAGAGGCGGGTATTCTGCCACTCCATTTGGGTCCCCCAGCTTGGTGCCAACTTACCCCTGTTTTGGTTGGGAGGGTTCCGTTCCCCTACTAAAAGAGCCGACAGAAAAAAGAAAGGGCGCCCTTATTCTAACCTCTCTGGAGGACCTAGCTATGGTCATTTGCAACTCAGAACAGCTACGGCAGTCTTCCAAAATTCCCCAATATTTGTATGATGGGAGTGGCACTTCCATCTTACCCAGAAACCGCCCAGGCTTGAAGGTTCCTGAGAATGACAGGGGCGTGACTGCGCTTGGGGAGAGGTCTCTGCGAACCCTGACGACTTTTCGTCTCTGTAGTTTTCCCTGATGTGGTCTAGTCTCAGGCAAAGTTCCAAAAGCTTTCCTATTCCTTTGGTCCAGACTGGGCAACTGAGACCCAAACCTGGCTCAAGCAGGTCTGTTTTTTTGGGGGGGGCCTTTTTCCTCGGTTTTTATTGGAAAACAGCCGGACTTTGATGGAAGACCAGGTCTTGTACTGTCCGAGTAGCATTGCGCTACTGCATACCATCCCCTTTAAGAGTTTTTACCCGAGCCCAAGACCTCATTTGAGGCTTTTCGGGTCAAGGTCCTCATATTCAGCAGGGCTCCTTAAAAGATACATTTCATTTTGCCACCATTTGAAACATGTGGCTTTTTCAACACCAAAATAAAGTTGGAAACAACACCAAATAGACAAGTTGCAATGTTCGATCGGTGTTTTTCATGCATCCGGATCCCTGTTGGGTCTTGGGCTCCTAGGGTTCAGAGGAAAGTCAGAAAGGAAAGCGCTTCACGGCTCTTGGCATGTTTCTTTTTTTTTTTGTTTTTTTAGTGTTTTGGTTCTGTTCATTTTTTGTTGGGTTGTATTTTTAGTTTTTTTTGGTTCAGTTCATTTTTACTGGGGGGGGTCTGCAAAAGCAGTCGGTTTTTCGCAAGCCCATACCAAGAGTAGAGAGGAAAACGCAGGAGCCGCTTCGCCAGGCGGGTGAGGAGTCCGCCTCGCTGGCGGTTCTGTTGGCAGGGCCCGCCAAGGCCCAGCGCCTCGCCCGCGCGGAGCTGCAGAACTTGGCAAGGCGCGGGCCGGGTTAGGTGGTGGGGGTGGTGGGGGTGGTTGGGGGGGGGGCGGGGTGGGGCTTTCGGTGGTGCTAGGATGCCCAACCAACTTAGTAAGTCATGGTTGTTGTTGGGAAATATTTTACATGTTTGCTTATTCTGGTTTAGTGGTTGAAATCCCCACTTAGCTGCAATTGTTGCTCCCCTTCCAACGTCAACCAAGAAGTAGGCCATGTTCGTGGTTATAACTTTGGTATATAATGGTTGTTCCCCCAGAACCATGGTTCTAACCTACTCGCGGAGTTGCTTGTTTGGATCATCCCACCCGTCCACAGCCACCCGCTCGTCCACCCGCACGTCCACCCGCACGTCCGGCGCCGTCTACCCGGCCGACAGCCGTGACAGACGGGAGCTGAGAGCCGCGACAGTCCGCCTGAGGCTCCCGCCAGTGGCCGGACCAGGACAGCTGTGCAGATTGCATGCTGGCGCATTTCACTCGCCCTGTGGGAAAATTGAGTGTGCAAACACTTCTAAAGTTTGATGAACCAACGCGTTAATCCAAAGGGGGGTCTATCTTGACACCCCCGCCACAATCTCTGAAACCATGGCAAAAGGGTTGCTGGACCTCTTGAAATGGGCCACTCATGATTGGCCCATTATATACCCCTTATATACCCTATCTATTGAGGTTAATTATATGTGTATATTGTCTACCTGGACCCTCACACTACCCTTACGGAAAGGAGCTGTTACCCCACAATGTGTGTGGCAATAACCTATTTTGAGGGTCCAGGTACCTCCTTGTTTTCTCCCCATATATTGACTAAAATAGACTGCCGAAAAAAAGGGTACCCTTGTTCTAACCTCTTTAGCGGAGGACCTAGTTGGGGTTACATGTATTCGTGTATCTGGTTCGAGGGCTGCGTGGCATCTGCTTTTCCCTGCAGCAAGCTCAGGTTCTACTTTCCGGAGCTTTGGAGCCACGCCTGGCCGGCTTGCTGCTGGGTGATGCTCGGCGCCATGTCGAGGTTCGAGGTTTCGGGCTGTCCATTTGGGTGTGTGCGTGTGTGTTTTTCCACGGCACCCCCGTTTTTGGAGAATGTGTTGTTGTTGTTTTTTCCATGGCAAGTAACAGCCTTGAGACCAACAGCCTCAGAACGGATCTGGCTTCAAAATTGTGACTGTGTTCGAAATAGCCCAGCTTTGTCCAATGGCCCCAAAGGACACCAAAAGGAGATGTATGGATTTGTGTTGGTCCGGTCCCCGACTTTGCCCAGATATGTGAGCGGCTCTTGTTCACAAAGAAGTGCACCGACGCCTCCTTTAGCCCTTAAGAGGACCAAAACATGACGAAGCGAAGACTTGAAGGCCGCAGTCATGCAGAACGAGGGCAGGCCCCCGGAGACCCAAGTCGTGGGGAAACCAATGGGAAATTAACGAGAGGCCCTTCATTCTTTTGGAGGCCATATGAGCAGGTGACAAGACTACTGGTAGTCTAGTGCAAGTTTGGTAAGGACATGGCATGGTTGTCGTTGGGAAACATTTTACGTTTTTGCTTATTGTGGTTTAGTGGGAAATCCCACTTAGCTGCTAAAATTTATTTGTTTGCTCCGGGGACCTCCTCTTGTGGAAACAAGTAATGGTGTCCGGGCTCATATGATGTCAGTGGCTGCGGTGAGCAGCATGGCGGGTGGAAGTCACAGTGCCGGAGCAGAACAAGGAACATGTTGCACATCGTGTGCGCTTGGTCAGGCCTCCTTAAAAGATACATTTTGCCAATTTGAAACATGGCTTTTTCCACCGAATTCAAAGGAAGCTGCCATTTACAAGTTGCAATGTTCAGGTGAATGTAAGCAGCATCCGTGTTGGTGAGTTGATTGCAAACAGATGGCAGTCGCAGGTTGGTTCTGATCATTGACCAGCGCCCATCAATTCCTGATTGCTATTGGGCAACGGATCTTTAGGCTTTAATAACTTGTTTAGGAAATCAAGGGTTTTCCTTTGAACCCACAAACAAATAAGCTTCTTGCAGAGGTGCCAACAGCAACCAAGAATCGTTGTCTTTGACTATCCTTCAGATCTTCAGATCTCGACCGGGTGAACTGCTGCATGCTCCACCTTGAGTACCCTCCCTCCAATCATGGAAGTGCACGATCGGGGGGCTCTCCAAAAGGAACAACTTCGTCTTCCAAAACCCTTCTGTCAGCTTCCATCAAGGAAAGTTTGATCCTAAAGATCAACACGGAGCCCAAAAAATCGCACACCCGTTTCGAAAGGAGACCCTTTTTGGGGATCTTTGGCCCCCTCCCTTTTTGGTGGTTCCCACCTTCCTTTGTATCGAAGGTCCGTCCGTTTTTGGTTGGACGACCAGCTGAGGAAGGGGGCTCCAGCAGCGCGAAAGGACGGTGCAAGCCAAGGCCAAAGAGAGACGCGAGAGGTGAGCTTTTGAATTTCCCGAGTGGAAATTCATCGCTATTTTTGGGTTTCCCGTTGTTTTTGGAGGTTTGAAAGGGAAACGGGGAAACGAACAGTTGAAACAACCACTTTGTTCTCATCTCTACTTCTTCTCTTTTTTTTTGGGGGGGGGGCTTAAGAAAAAGACACATCCGCCCGTTTGTGGAGTTGGTGCTCTTGTTGGGGTTGTAAAGTCAAACCATGGCTAAAACCCACCGACATGGCTAGGTGTGTGTTGTAATGGGCCGCCACAAGCACGGTTGGTTGACCCGAATCCCCTTCGTAATTTCCACCTAAAAGACACACATGGAGCCCACAAAAGCACACCTCTTCGAATCTCCTTTTGAAGGATTGGATTACTTTGTGTAGGCGAAGAAGTGTTTGGAGGAATCTCCTGGTGGGATTGGACCCCCTTTTGCTTCTTGGGTATGTCACTTTGCATGACATCGAGGTTGAAGGCTGCAACGGTGCAACCCTCCTGCTTTACTCAGTTGAGCCACAATCAAAACTTGGGTAGATGAAGGTTAGTAAGGGATGATCCCAGCCATAAATAGCTGCTGCCGCCTTCTCAATTCTTTACATGGTTCTGGGTAGACCATTTGAATACCAGGTTTTGATTGTGACTCAGTTGGTCTTACCTCCAACGGTGGTTGGTGCCCGTGTGTCCCTCGGAAACCTTCCAACAATCACAGCGCACGGGAGAGGTCAGAGTTGCCATGCTTGAGCCAGGGAGAGATGCTCTACAAAAAAGGAAACATATCATACCCATGCCCTTGTCCCTTGTGGTGACACAGAACCAAAAGGCAGATCAAACCACAGGTGAGCCACCATCAAAACCCAAGTCGATGACGGCTAGTCAGGGAGAATCCCAGCCAGAAGCAGCTGCGGATATCCGCCTTTGTATTTCCTTACATGGTTCTGGGTCGTTCACAGCATCGGAGGCCAAGTCGAGCAGCCCACAGCTGATGAGAGCCATGAGGATCTGCGCCTTGGCGAGAAGCGCTCAGATGTGTTTTCCGCCCGTGAACTAGGGCCGCTGGTCCCCCAGCTAGCTCCTACTAGAATAGACTACAGAAAAAAGGGTACCCGTATTTTAACCTCTCTACTGGAGGACCTACTCGTAGAGGGGGAATCCGATCTTGCCAGAATTGCGGGAAACAAAGCTTGGTTTGAAGGTGAGCTTCGGATGAATACAGCAAGCCCTCAAAAAGTGGGCTTCTGTTTCATCCACATTGGGGGGGGGCTTTTCACCCCAAAGGAGGGATGGAGTAGTTTGTTTGACTCAATTGACCTGCTGGTCATTCCCAACACCCTGGCTTATTCCCTACCTATCGCACCAGCTAGTTGAACAAGTTGACAGATCTTCTGACTTGCCAAGCTAATGCAATGGTTGCGCCACAAGAGAATAAAAGAACAAGACATCCAACGTTCCTTGGATGGTTTCCCTTTAAGCCACCAAGTTGAGCCGCCAACGTTCCTTGGATGTCGCCGTGACTCAGACTCGATCCGTTTGCCCCGAGGGCTTCCTGGGAGAGCGCTTTGCGAAAGCAATGGGGCGAGGACTGCTTCGGGGTCCCCAGCGGCATGTAGAGAGTCGCATGTCGTGGATGGGTGAAACATGTTCTAGGTCCTTCAGCTAGGTGCCCTTTCTCGCCCGGGTTCCGCTACTACAACAGACTACAGAAAGAAGGGTACCCTTATTCTAACCTCTCTACTGGAGGACCTAGTGTTGTTGAACTGTTGCCTCGTCCTTTTGAGGCTTGGTGCTCCCTGCTTTGGTGGTTCTTAGAGGGACACCAAAGGACAACCACCACCTTTCTCGGGGGGAACCCTTACAAAAGGCATTGCACAGGATGCATTGGATTTATTTCGGTATTGAAGAGGACGATCTGGGCAGATCTAATTTGCCAGCAACCTATCCCAACCTTCACAAGTTCAATTCGTACCAGCTGTAGAAAGAATTTCTATCAAGAAACTCTGGGCTCTTGGTTTTGGGGCTGGGTCCCAATTTGGATTGGACCAATCGATCGCATCAGCTGATCCTCGAGGTTTCAGACAAAAGCAGTCGGGTGCGGGAATGTGTGCAATGTTCAGGTGAATGCAAGCAGCTTCACTGTTCTTGGCATGTTTTTTTTATATATATATATATATAGTTTTTTGGTTCTGTTCATTTTTACTGGGGGTCTGCAAAAAACAGTCGGTTTTCGCAAATCCATACCAAGAGTAGAGATGGTAAGGATCCGTGTTGGTGAGTTGATTGCAAGCAGATGGCAGCAGGTTGGTTCTGATCATCAGCGCTCATCAATTCCTGATTGCTATTGGGCAACGGATCTTTAGACTGCGAGACTTTTTGGTTGAAGTCAAGTGAGTTATTCGCTGTTTTGCAGAGGGGTCAACAGCTGCCAAGTAATCTTTCCACCAAGGACTGCTTGTTCACCGCCTTTGGCTTTTGTACGGTTTAAGCACCAAACCGAATGCAAGTCTTTCGCGCTTCTTGCTCAACCCGCTGGTCCCCACCCACCCAACCCCACCCCACCCCACCCCACCCCACCCCACCCCACCCCACCCCACCCCACCCCACCCCACCCCACCCCACCCCACCCCACCCCACCCCACCCCACCCCACCCCACCCCACCCCACCCCACCCACCCCACCCCACCCCACCCCACCCCACCCCACCCCACCCCACCCCACCCCACCCCACCCCACCCCACCCCACCCCACCCCACCCCACCCCACCCCACCCCACCCCACCCCACCCCACCCCACCCCACCCCACCCCACCCCACCCCACCCCACCCCACCCCACCCCACCCCACCCCACCCCACCCCACCCCACCCCACCCCACCCCACCCCACCCCACCCCACCCCACCCCACCCCACCCCACCCACCCACCCCACCCCACCCCACCCCACCCCACCCCACCCCACCCCACCCCACCCCACCCCACCCCACCCCACCCCACCCCACCCCACCCCACCCCACCCCACCCCCCCACCCCACCCCACCCCACCCCACCCCACCCCACCCCACCCCACCCCACCCACCCATCCGCACACTCCTCAAGACGAAATTCTGCGTAGCCCAATGCGTCCAGTTGCTGTAGTTGGCATCGGGGCTTCGGCTGCCGGGTGCCAATCAACCTTTCAAGAAGATGGGTTTGTCTCAAAATAGGGATCGAACCCTCAAATTTGGCGGAGGTCCTCTTGTTTTCTTTGAACACCATCCCATCTTCAAATTGTCCTCAAAGTGTTTGACCGCATATGTGTTTTCGGTTCCGTTGAAGACACCAGGGGATCAACGTAGTTGCCCGTTTTTCCAGCCGCACGCGGTGGTTCTTTTCGGTGAGGACGACGACATTTTCGACGAAGAGCTTCCAGTGGAGCCTCTCGAGGACCGATGCGTTCGACTGGAGGATTCCGGCTCATTTCCTGAGTTTCTAGGCTTTGGGCACTTTTTGGGATTGGTTGCCATTTTGGAGGTAAACAAAAAGTTTGGACACGGACTTTCGTTCGGAAGTGAGTCCCAGACAGAAGGTAATAAGGGCCCCCCGCCGGCCAACCTCCGCCCCCAAGGATAGTGGTGATATGGCAATAGCGGGCAGTGGCGGCGCCGGGCTTTCCCCAATGCGATCAATATCAGCCTGAGGGCCAAGTCGTTGCGTTGCGGGTGGTGAAACTCAAACTCAGCAAGTTGGAGGACGGAAAGCATGGCGAAGTGTGGCCAACACCGTCCTGACCAACTGTTTCTTCATTTCAAGGGGGTTGTCAAGATTCGGGGCATTATTTGGTAGACCACTCCCCCAAGGATTTCCCCAGCAGCCCTCAATCGTTGGCCCGACACTAACATCTCGATTCAGCCCTCCTCAACTTTCCCAACAAACCAACCAGAACAAAAAACGATTTCTTGGTGAGCTTGTTTTCGAAAGGGCAAAGCCAAGAAGAAAAACAGATATGTCTCCCAAAATATAACAAAAACAGCAAATTAAATCTCGACCCGAGGGGAAACCAAGAGGATGGGTCGCGTTTTTTTTCTTTTTCCAGGCACACCCGGTGTCAGCCCCCCTCGCTTGCGCGCGCGCAACGAATCTCCAGGCCCCGGACGAGGGCCCGGAGATCTTCGAGGGCGAGACGATGATGCCGGAGCTGGACATGCCGCTGCGGCAGAGATGCGGCAGAAATGGGTTGCGGGGGTCATATACATGGTTGTTGGGAAACATTGTACGTATTTTTGCTTATTGTGGTTTAGTGGTTGAAAACCAAACCCACTGAACTGCTAAAGTTTTTGAAGTTTTTGCTCCCCTTCCAACGCCAACCAAGTTTTGGTTTCCCTGGGTCCTTCATTTAGTCAAGGTTCCCAAAGGTTGACCAGGTCCATGTCCAGGTCCTTTGGTGCTTCGGGTCCTCTGGAGGCGCCCAAACCCCCACCTTCGTCGGAGCGGCTTTTGATAGAACAAACCTAGTCCCACCTACCAACCGTATACTTCGGTGTGCCTTTCCGGGATAAAAAGCCGCGGAGAAGACATAAACTTTGGGTTTTTTCCCTTGTTCTCAGCCTTCTCAGTAGAAGAAAACAGAATAAGACCCACGAAGAAGCAAAGAGATGGACCCTGGGTGTCCAATCGAAGACTTCAACGCTCCGTGTCCTGGGGCCGCGAAGCGGAGGTCGCGGCCCTTCCAGCTCCTTGGCTCGCTCGCGCTCGCGGAGCTCGCGGCGCGGTTTCTGGGGGTCGAAGCGGCTTGGGGTTCGGTTCCCATAAGAGCGTTTGGGACGGCTGGAGGAATGAGCCCGTTTTGGGGGGTCGAAGGAAGGAAACCAGTTGGAGAGTGCGAGAGAGTGCGAAGGAATGAAGGAATGAAGGAACAGGTCCCCGAAGCGTTGCAGGGGGTCCTGCGATCTCTGTTCTTCGTTTCTCCCCTCTGCCTCCCCATTGGCTTGAACCTTTCTTTGTCCCCCCCCCCTCTCCCTTGCCGGGAATGAACGAGCGGTTTGGGGGGTCTGCGAATAAAGGGAAACCGGTTGGAGAGTGGGATAGTTTATGGGGTCGGTCCATTTCTCAGGCACCCTGTGCAGCAAGTTAAGGTGCCGAAGTTTTTGAGGGGATCCTTATGGTTTGAGCTACTCTTCGGTCCACGTTGCCGTGGCACCCGCCAGAGGGTCCCTTTTTAAAGGCAAATCATTCTGGACTGCCCTGTAAGGTGCCATGTTTGTGGATGGGAGAGTATACTTCAAGTGGAGACGTGATGGGAACCCCGGGATTTTCGCAGAACCCCTGGTTGAATGTCCCCTTTGTAGTGAGGATTCAGACCATTTTTTGGAGGGACCCCCCCACCCCCGCATCAATAAACCCGGATGATTAATCCGAGGCCAATATTTGGAAACTAGTTTTGGTGCCAGGCTTCGATCTTGGCCACCATCTTAGGGGACTATTTTGAGAATCCTCTGGAATTTTCGCAGCACGCCTGGTTGAATTGAACACTAGGGGGCTCAGTTTTAGTGCCAGGCTTGATCTTGGCCATTATCTTAGAGGACTATGTTGAGAATTTGAAAATCCTCCGGAATTTTCGCAGCACCCCTGGTTGAATTGAACTAGGGAGCGCACCAGGCTTTGATCTTGGCCACCATCCTAGGGGACTATTTGGAGAATCCTCCGGAATCCCCCACCCCCCCAAAAAGAAAGAGAGACAAAAACGGATTATTAACTTGAGGTCAACAATGGTCAACATTCGGGATTTGAGTGCCAGGCCCCTGCATAGCCCCGAATCGCCCAGGATGCTTTTGCTCGTGGGGCTCCCTGGCTCCGGGAAGAGCACTTTGGCCAAGCGTCTGCACGGCTGGGACGTGGTGAACCAGGACACGCTGGGGGACCGCAACTCGGAACGGGTGACACCGAAATGGGAGCTCCGGGCCAGTTTGGGTTGGCGTCTTTTTGGTGGCTGCCCGTTTTTGGACGGGGTTTCAAGGGAGTTGCTGTTTTGTTTTTTTCTGGGGGAGGGGGGGTGGGTCCCCATTTTGAGACAAGCCAATTTTTTGACTCCCAACAGCGACTTAAGTCCACAAGCAACCCCCCCAACGACTGGGAGAAAGTCCACCTATGCGGCGGGTCCAAAAATGGAGGAATGCCTGTCCAAAGGGTTAACGGAAATTCTGTGCGGTACGAGGCAAGCAGCTCAAGCAGCTTGTGTTGGTGGGGTTCCCTAAAAAGGGCCGCGTTGCCCCGAAAGTTGTCCTTTGGTAAAGAGGTTCTTGTCATCTCAGTAGTATAGTATGAGACACTGAGTGTGGGTGTTTCTTTTTTTCGGGGACCCCGTTGTGGTCGGGTTCAAAGGGGGAATCCACCACTTCTTTTTTTGGGGGAGGGGGGGGGCTGAAAGAAGACACGCCCGAGCGTAGGCTTAAGAACATGACCGTGCCCCTTCAGAGCCCGCGAAACCCCTTCCTCGGGTTGATCGACCGGGACCGCGAGAAAGGCGCATGGGCTCCTGGTAGTGTCCAACCAAAACAAGACCGCCAGCCGGGGGGAGGGGGGGGAGAGGGGGGGGAGGGCTTCTCCACAAGTTTGAGGACCTCCATTTAAAAGAAAAAATGGAGAAAAAACACGGGTACGCCGCAGGTTTGGGTAGCTCTTACTAGAAAAGACTGTAGCCCAGATGGGCTGGTCTCAAAATGTCGGGCCCCTGCAAGTGGCAACAGTGTCTTTCTGATTCCCCGCAAAACAGCCCCAAAAACGGGGGTCACAGACCCTAAAGAAGACGAGCCACCCATATGGGTCTGTCTCTCGTTCGCTGTGGACCCGTTTCGGGATTGGTTTTACAGGAACACCAAAGGGAAGACCTTTTCATTTCGCCTCCCCCCCCAACCCCCCCAATAGAATAGGACACACTCAGATAAAACCAGGCCCCTGACTGAGGGCCCCCCCCGCTGCCCCCAGTATTTTTGGACACCCAGGCCCTCTGGCTGAGGACCCCCCCCAGCCTCGGGCCAAACCGGTCCTCGGGGTCCTCCGAGGTAAGGCCTGCGTTGAAGCCGCCCGGGAGCTGCTGGCAAAGAACCGGCGCCTCGTGGTGGACCGATGCAACTGCACCCGGCTGCAGCGCCGCGCGCCTCGGGTGCGGGCAGCGGGTAGCAGCGGGTAGAAGGCGGTGCTTGAGCCCGAGCCAAGAAGAACTAGGGGGCGGTGTGGCGGGAAACGGCGGGGAAACCAAAAAGGGGCTGGGGAACAAAGAGGAAAGCCACAAAGGGGTTGCAAAACTTGGGTGCTGGCCGCGGGTGTGGTCTTTTTCAGTGCCCATTTTAAAGGATTGGGGTTGACAGTGTCTTTTCAGGAGACCCGCTCAAAATGGAAATGTTGGGTTCCTTTTTAGCTTTCCTTTAACACCTGCCAACAGAGAAGTTAACCCTCGAAAGAAGATGAGCCACAAAATGAGGAGTTTGGCCACCCATGTTTCGCCATGTCCAAAAGGTTTTGGTTGTTTTGTCCAGGGCCTTTGGTTGCAAGTGAGGAGGTAGACGGCTTGTGTTGGGCTGTGCGTATTTTCTACTGGCCGCCGTTTTCACTGGTCAGTATGCTTTTGGGTTCTGCTAAAGCCCCTTGAAAAGGGAGAGCCACCTGTTTGGGGCCCAGATGTTTTCGTGAAGCAGGGTGGCGGTGCCAAATCTCTGGTGCTGAATCGCCTTCTTGCGCTTTTTGAAGCACCTCGAAGCCACGGGGATGCAGCCACTGGACCGTTTCCAATGCAGCAACTGGACCCGCCAGCTGCTGCGTCCATTACGCGCAGCGGAATTTTATACATACGCTGGAAAAAAATGGGATGGCAAGTTGGCAACTTGGGGAGCGTTGACTCCGGGTTTGCTGTGGACCCGGGAGTAATGTTGACCCCGTCTTTGTCTTAAATTTGAGGTGGGGGGCCCTCCAAAAGTGTGTCACCCCCCCCTAAAACCAGGGACACCCCCATATTATCAAACAGGGTGCTTTTTTCATGTGGGGTTCCCATGAAGTCGAAGCACCATACTAATCAGCCCAATTTCTGCTAGGGGCATCCGCCACGAGATGTTGCTTTATGGTTGCTTAAGGCATACATGCAACATGTGTTGTTGAAGCATGTGTTTGCAGTTTTGGCATGACTTGCCATGCTTGTGTTGTATTTGCTCCTAATAAGTTGGGTTACGGCTCATGGTTCATCGGAACAAGGGTCGCTCCTTGTGATCTGCCCGCGCCGGCTTTGGAGAGGTAAGGTCCTCTTTGGCCAGGTGTGGGATCCAGGTGTGGGACAACTTGTAGGGCGCCGTGCTTGCGGGACATGGAGTTGACAAATGGATGTTCCAGATGGCCTTCCTTTGTGGGTTGGTCGGCGTAGATTTTACCGTCTTGG